TTTTTGGGCTCTACTTCAGATTAATTAAAATATTCTCTGAGGAGGTAGAGGAGACCTAGCAAGCTCTGTGTGTGTGTGCATGCGCTTTTTTTAATTTAGTGATTCCATCATTCTATAATTTTATTTTTAAATGACAAAGGTATTCTTTACTCTTCATCATAAATTAAAAAATTGTAAAATAATTTTACTCTTCTACTTCCTTTCACTGTAAGAGGGTGTTAAATGCAATATCCTAAGAATATAAAACAAATATTTATTCACCTCTTCAATTTAATTAAAGGATAAGACATATTTGGAAAAGTACACAAATGATAAATGTTTACAGAAAATATATTATCCCAAAATAACATAAGTGATAGGACATTGACCATTAAGCCCAAACCTCAGTGTAGGTTGCTTCTGCATCATTGCCCGTTTCTTCCTTCATAATGGTATGCAAGGCCTGCAGGGATTTATCTGAAGCATAGGAGCAAAGTAATTTGAATAGATACATGCACCGCTCTATTCACTGCACCCTTCACAAAAGCCAGGAGTTGAAAATAGCCTAAACACCATCTGTGTCTGAATGGGCAATGATGTGGCTTATCCCACCTCATACTTGGCTCCAGGATGTGTTCAGCCACATTGGTGACCATGGTAGCAGTGGGAAGGAGGCGGGGGGTGGGGGGCTACACCACAGGGCTCTACTGATGGAGTCACCTGATGACACATTTCTTGGCCTGTATCCGGTCGGTAAGCATCATGTGACAGAGCAATGTTCTACCAAAAAAGGTGAACTCCTGCCACTGGCGACAATAAAGGGGGCCTTGAGAATATTAAGTAAAATGAGTCAGATGAAGGAAGACTGTAGGATTCCATTCATGTCTAGAAGACAAAGAAACAAAACAAAGTCTCCAGATAATAAGAATAAAATAGTGGCTATGGAGAGGGAATGGAGGAGGCACTGACAGTGTCATAACCAACGTTATCTCAGTAAATATTAGAAAGGTAATTTTAATGGGCCATACTATGGTCTTATTTAATTTGTCATATTTTCCTTCATAGATTTTTTTAATGGAGAGAAAATAATTTAGGCGTGAAGATTATTTCTCTGATCAACTAATAATAGCAATGAATAATTAACGTGGGGTGTTCTATATGCATTCACATGTTATATATGAATATTACAGTGCTGCAGCAGTTTCAAACTATGACTCACTCTAGGAATTTAGCTTTATTTTCCTAAAACTAAGTTAAATTTGAACTCCACAATACCTGATGTTAAGAAACACCTTTCTGTTCATTTTCAGGAGCATCATGAGCAATAGAGGACAGAGGCTTTTTCACCTTTCAAAATGAGGGTTCACCATGCTGAGGGAGGATTTGGCTGCCAGGGGAAGCCTGGGTACAGGGGTGCGGCATGATGCCTGTGACTGTTGAACCAATTGTGGGCCAAACAGGCACCCCAGTGAGAAAGCCACTTTGAGGCAACATTAGCACTGCCCAGGAAAGCATGAACAAACAGAAGATTCCCGGGCAGAGGAGACACCAACCGGCCAGCCCAGAGACAATGACTTGGCGTCTTTGAAGTAGCTGCCAAATGCCCACCAGTTTCACATACCTGCCAAGCTCAGAGTTTATAAGCCAATTCACAACAGCCAGAGTAGCAAGAATGCTCTGTTGTCATCGCTTCTCCCTCCCTTCCCTTTCAACTCTGCAATAGCCAGAGCCAGGCACAAAGTGGGGTGAATGGTGAGGAATAGGAGTTGGAGAAAGCAAACAGACAATCCCATTGGACCATCTGTCACCTTTCCCAGTATGTTTCGGCTATGCTTTCAGGAGAGCAGCTGCCTTCTGGGAGGGAAATACTTTAAACTTACAAGGAATTTGAAAAACTTGACTAATATAGAATGAAACATGTATGTGTATGTGTGTGTGTGTGTGTGCATGCACATGTGGTGTCTGTGTTTGAAATGTGTGAAGAAGTCTTTGAAACTCTTAAGTACGACTAGAGAAGTGATTTGTTTTTTTTTTTAAAGATTTATTTATTTATGCATACAGAGCTGGGGTACAGGCCAGAGGTACAGGGGCAGTGAGAGGATTCACCAGAGTCACAGTAGGAAGCAGAACAGGCAGACTGAGGAAGTACACTGCTGAGGGGAGCAGCGGGCGGGTCAGGAGAGGTCTGTGGTGCCATATGGTCATCTCTGGGGAAGGCGGGGATTGAACTCATGTGGAAGTGGCTTAAGCTTCTTAGTGCTGTGCTTTAACCCGCTGCACCACAAGGGAGGGCCCATGGCTAGAGGTTTTGCTTGCATTTTTATCCGAGGGAGTTGAAAGGATTGCTTTGGCTCCAGAGCAGGCTTGATAGTGGGGAGAATGATTAAAACTGTTTTTCGGTTGCACCTGAGGAGCACTGTCTACCCCAGGTAGTGGTTATACAGCAGATTGTGCACACCAGTCACTCCAGGCTGGGACCTGATGCTCCTGTTGTGCCGCCTGAGCAGCTGGGACACCCCCTTGCCTGGCCTGGGGGTAGGGTTCTGAGAATTTCAATAGGGTGTTTGCCTAATAGGTCAGATTACACCCCATTACCACTATCTCATTTAACCACCACAAGTAACTGATGGCATAAATGTTATTATTCCTCTCTTGGAAATGGGGGACAGCTAGAGCAGCCAGCAAGTGGAGGAGAGCTGAGAGCCAGGCCCCTGCCCCGACCACCCTCTAGACACTACGCACTTTAGCCCATCGTCCTTCTCCTGGCTGCAAGGGGAAGGCAACATGCTCAGCTTTTTCTAATAGACATTTCTAGAAGAAGAGGAACCGTCTACTAAATTTATAAACACAACTCTTACCTACTTTCTAAGCACTTTCTTGCTAAGATGCTAGCAGAGCCTTCTGCGGATTATAACCCAGTCTCTGCCAAAAACGTAACTTTAAACTTTTGAAAAGTCAAAAGATTTTTTAAAAGGCCAGATACTCTGAATATGTGAAAAGAAATATCCACCTCTGCCATGATTTTCTTTCCAGAGGTTAATGTTTACTACCTAGAAATTAATTCTGTGCATATGCGAGCATGTTTTAAGAATTTGGGGGCACCAAGAAATCTGTTTTGATGTTTAATTTTTCACAAAGTTTAGTGGAAATCTTTAGTACTTGAAGGTCACTCTCAATATTAGAACTGTTCCTTTTCCTTCCTCCATGAGGCTTAACTACTAGAGAGGAAAAAATGATCTGAACTTAAGAGTGTCAGAGTAAGAGTACTGGTTCTCGACATTTTATCACTTGGAGGACTATCCTTCCTTTCTCTGTAATATTGCAGCCTTTGATCATCTTTTCTTTTCTTTTCTTTTTTTTTTTTTTTTGCATAATAAAATGTAGAATTGTTAGGATTATACACAGACCCAAATCTCTTGTCATAACACTCCTCCAGGGGAGAAAACAACCCCAGTGCTCTTCCTGTCTGCCTGTCTGCCTTCTGCCTTTCATTTGGTAAAAGCAAGGACAAGCCCCAAGAGGTCATTAACCTCTGCCTTTGTGCCAGGATAAGCAAATTACCTAAGGCAATAACTAAGCTGTTTGTAAAAATACTAAAAAACCTCTAAGTGGTAGAGAATCCACTACTCCTAGTGAACTGTGGCACCTTGTACTACACACTATAAATGTCTTTTCCTATCTATGTAGACTCCGCTCTCAGCCTTTGTCCTCATGTGCATTAGTCCTTTCTTACCTTTCTACGAACTTCTTGTCCTTTTCTTGAGTAGGGGGGACACAAAATAACCTCTGGTGAGGTGAGGCTTAGTCCTCAGGAACCCTGGCCGGTAATCCCTAGCTACCTGGGATGAACAGTGAAGGCATTCCTTCGTCCACAGAACATTTACCCGCTGCTGCTAAGCAAACACTCAACCCTTTCCCATTCCGTGAGACGGCATTTCTAAGTCTGTTTCCAAACAGAACACTAGGGGGCTCCCAGGGGTTAAAAATAAGCAGAAAATCATTTGAATGAAAACTGCTGCTCCACGGTCTTTTTTTTTTTTTTTTTCAGATTTAAAAAATAAAGTTTATTTTAAAATTTTCTAAAAAAATGCCTTTCCCATTTTAAGACTGGGTTATTGGCAATCAGTTTGAAAGTAATCGGTTTACTTTGCAATCAGTTTTCAAGGGAGCTTTTAAAGCTGAGCTGAAATATTTGAAATGTGGACACTCTTGACCATGAAATATGTTCGACTTACATGCCTCAGCCTTTAAAAGTTCTGTGCATTAGAGTCAGGGATCACATTCTTCCTGGAGCAAGCATGAGGCCAGCGTGTAAGTAAGGTTGCTTCAAAGCTCTTTTTCTTTTTACAATATGAAAAAATATGAGTTAGAGATTCTTTTATTTTCTTTCAACTGACTTTGGGGGAAAGAAAAAGAATAAAAAGCAGTCAGACTTGTGGGTTTGTGTGTGTGTGTGTGTATGTGTGTATCTGCTTTCAAGATATACTGGCATTTCTAACTTTATATTATCCTTTATCTTATAATAACTGTTAATGCAAGATAATGGAACATGTTATGAAAAAACAGTACCGTGAAATTAAGAAAATATGTTTCTGAATTTGAATGTTAATGCTGGCTTTGGCTCGACTAGTTAATACATGACTTAAAAATATATATGGGGTAGTTATAGATTTTTTTAAAAATCGATTGCTTGTCTTAAATGGTTTCTGAATTTCAAAAACAGGAAAGCTTGGGTTTGCCAAATTGTAATGTTTTCCTTCAGAAGCAAATTAACTGGACTTTATGTACAATTTATAAAATATTCTTGCATTTGTGTGCTTGTTCTCACTAATTTAAACTGAGTATCAAATCTCTGCATTTATCTTGTGCCTATTTCTGAAGCCTTATTAAGCAACTTTTGGTGGGGATGTTTATGAAAGGAAAGGGTTACTTTTTTCCATTGCTTCTGTAGAGGAACTAAATTAGTTTGAGACTGTGACTCAGTTAACTCTGTTTCCATTCATTCTCAGAAACTAGTCACACTTCTTTCTTTGGGGAGGCTGATAGGAGTTTAAAAGGTTTGTCGTGGAGATGTCAGAAACATCCTCAACGCCATCATCAGCTCTTAACTGCCACCTCTCTATCTCTGGCGACCACTTAGACATCTAAGCAGAGTAACGGCTGAATTTAGGCAACCATGCATCATCACGTAGGCAGGAGCCGACGGCAGACTTTAAACTCTGTTCAACATGTGGATGCGGCAGAGAAATGAACTGTCCAGACAAGCCAGGGCAGCTCATAAACTGGTTCATCTGCTCCCTGTGTGTCCCACGGGTGTGTAAACTCTGGAGCAGTCGGCGTCCCAGGACCCGGAGGAACCTCCTGTTGGGCACCGCCTGTGCCATCTACCTGGGCTTTCTGGTGAGCCAGGTGGGACGCGCCTCTCTACAGCGTTCACGGGCGGAGGAAAAGGGGCCACACCAAAGCCGGGACACCGCCGAGGTACCCTTCCCTGAGATACCCTTGGATGGGACCCTGGCCCCTCCCGAGTCCCCGGGCAATGGGACCACGCTGCAGCCCAATGTAGTGTACATTACCCTACGCTCCAAACGCAGCAAGCCCGCCAATATCCGTGGCACAGTGAAACCCAAGCGCAGGAAGAAGTACGGAGTGGCATCTCTGGCCCCTGGTCAGGAGGCTTTGATAGGACCATCTCTTCGGTTACAGGACGCTGCAAGGGCAGCTGATGTTGAAGTGAAGAGGTATATCCAGGGAGGACACCTGGGCAAGGTTGGGGAGAGACCCTGGAGATTGTTACCAGGTCTGGGAGTGCGAGGTGAGAGCTCGGATTTGCAGCAGCCCAAGCTCAAGGAGAGCAATATCAGGATCTACAGCGAGAGCGCCCCCTCGTGGCTGAGCAAAGAAGACATCCGCAGAATGCGCCTGTTGGCCGATGGGGCCGTGGCGGGCCTCCAGCCAGTATCTTCCAAGAGTCAAGCAAGCTTGCTGGTGCTGGAGGGGGGCGCCACTGGCACTGCACCTGACTGTGGCCTTAGTCCCTGTGGGCTGCTCAAGCAGCCTTTGGACATGAGTGAGGTGTTTGCCTTCCACCTGGACAGAATCCTGGGACTCAACAGGACCCTGCCTTCTGTGAGCAGGAAATCAGAGTTCATCCAAGGTAACAACTTCACTTGCTTCCTTATTTGCAGCTGTTGGGCATTCGAGTTGATTTTCTCTTTCCCCTCGCTCGCTCTTTTCCAAATGATTTTCTCCACCCACGTTTCACATTTGGATAACAGCAGCAGCATGTCTTTCCGTACGCTTGGCATTCTTTATTTTCCCAGCATTGGGAGGATGTGAGGGTTCCAGGGAAATGCTGTACTCAACATGCAAGAGTAAGCCCACACTGTGTAATCTTTGCTCTCCACTTCCCTCACTGCACTTCCCAGTGGCTTATTAAATCTAATTAAAGCCAATGGCAATTTGCATGATGAGGAGCAGATGCCGGGGTGGAGGCCAAGAACTTGCTGACTGTATGTATATTATTGAATAGGTTATGCTGGAAGTTAAGTAGAATTTTGTTTGTTGGAAGTTTTTAAAAGTAAGAGGTAGGTTATCTTTCTAAAGCAGATGACATATTTTTAAGAGACTCACAGCCAAACCAAATTAGATTTAACTCATTGATTTTCTTTAAACAATGGATCTAATCCCTTTAATAAATGAAATGTTGCCCAAAAAAGGCTATTTACTCAGTATGTATACAACTAGCCATATGGTTTCTTCAAGTCCATGTCTAAGGTTCATTGAGTCTGATTTCCAAGATTCTCTCAGGTGACTAACATTTTGGCACATTCTAGAGCAGGTAGCCATTCTTAGCTGCAGGCAGTTGGACTGTCGGTTGCCTACCTCAGGTCTTGTGAAAGATGTTTTTAGAGTCCTGAGGCTCTTCCAGACTTTGAATATAAAGTAGGGTGGGTCAGTGATTTGTGTTTGAATACAGAAATTATGTTTGAATAATCCCTGCAGTTGCTACCATATTCTGGCTGGCCCAACAGACTAAAGAGAACCCCCAGAAATCTTGTAAATGCAAAGCCTACTAATTCCCTCCCAGTCACCTTTTTGGTGTTTTAATGGGGTAACCAGCAAATCTCTATTGGAATAGATTAAAACTCTTGGGGGGTAGTCAAGATTCAAGCTACATTTCCAATGGCTTTAGGATTATAATTTAGTTTTAGAGTGTGTACTTTTTGATGTACCAGTGCTTTACTGAGAAAGAGTTGGTATACTTATCTTGGTTCATATCTAAGTACTTCAGATTCACAGGTATGTTTTGATGTGCATGCATTATCTCATTAAATCCTCATAAAATTTCACAAGGGTGAGATTTTGTGTATGATAGACATTTTATGGATATGCAAGTAGAGGCTTAGCATAATTAAGCATTTTATTCAAGTCATGTAAATTGGATGAACATAAAAGGAACATGTGAGATGCAAAAGAAGATGCTAAAAGACAATCAGGTGCTTTAACTGATTTTCTTGCCTTCAGTCTTTATGGTGGAGGTTTCTGTTGGTCTAGTACAAATACAGAGGTCTCAATTATAAAGCTCAGTGCCAAAGTTTATTTTTTTAATCCATGAAACCGACACGGGTGATCCTATTAGGACAGAACCACTAGCTCAGCTGTCTGCAGGACAGGCACACGTTCTTGACCATACAACTTGATGAATTCTCGGTGACTTTCCTTGAATGCAAATATCTATGTAAAAATCAGTGGGATTACAGGCCTTGTACCAGACCATTTTCTGATAGGTTTATGCTAAAGATAACTCAGAAAATGCAGAGGTGTACCTGGGGGAGGGTGGCTTCTGATTATATTAGCTGGGGAGTACCGTACCACAAAAATCCACCAATTCTAAGGGGAGCAGATTCTTGTGCTTTGTATTCTTGTACAGGAAATGCAAACATATAATATGGTACTAAAAGGCTTTTAAAAACATCCATTTCAACAGCAGTGAGATCTCCTCCTTTTGCGAATCAATAAAGAATCTAGTGTTTTGCATCATGTTCTGGCTCTAACTGCATTTGGAATCTTTAACAGTTCTTAACAATTCACACAGCCGAGCTGTGGGAATCTTAAGACACACTGATGTTATGAAATTGTCTAAAGATGCATGTCAGTGAGCAATGGAAATGGAGTTTATATCCAATTCTGTATGATAATAAAACTTCCTTTTGTTGCTTCTTTTAATCCATACACCTCTCAAAAATAATTTGGTATAAAGATGGTATAGAGACAAAAATGTGTATTTTTTTTTTAAAGAATTGTTTATGCATACAGAACTGGGGTACAGGCCAGAGGCTCAGGGGCAGTGAGAGGCTTCACCAGAGACAGAGTGGGAAACAGAACAGGCAGATTGATGAAGTACACTGCTGAGGGGAGCAGCGGGGGGGGTCAGGAGAGGTCTGACACGCCATGTGGTCACCTCCGGGGCAGGTGGGAATTGAACTCATGCGGAAGCAACTTTAGATTCTCAGTGCTGTGCTTTAACCCCTGCGCCACCAGGGAGGGCCAAAACATGTGTATATTTTAACAAGGTGATTCCTGCTTTACCACAGATGTCAACATTTCCATTTAGTTATTTTTCTTTTAATTTGAGAATTTAGCATTGATATAAATTTTAGGAAGGGAAGTATTGACATACACTCTGAACATGCTACAAACCTATTAAGTTTTCTCTAAATGCAGGTCAACACTTACCAGAGTTTTTTGTGTTACTATAAGTAATCACGTGTATGTAAACGTGGCTGAATATATGTAGTATGTTCTATTCCAAACCATGCTAGTCAAAAATTATGACTAAGGTCATCAGCTACAGTGTGGTGCTATCCATATAGATATTTCTCTAAAAAATGATTTTTAAAATTTACTTAAAAGATGACTAAGCAGAGTATGGCCATGTAAAAAGTGGAATAAACCAGGCACACTCTGTGATCTTCAACTGAACAGCTTTGCCAAAGCTTCCCGAGCAGTCTGCAGTCATGTGACTAGATCCCAAAGGACACCCTTTTGGTAGAACTTAAGGATTGCTCAGTCTTTCATGCCCAGCATGGGAGATGCATTATGTATGCTTTATTTTTAGGATGCTGCTTTATTGCTCCAGAGCAGTCATACTGAGTTAAGGTAGCCTGGTTCCAGGAATTCTGTATGTCAGGGCTGCTTAGATGACATACTGCAGGCACCCCACCAACTTCCATTTAAATTCATTGTAGATCCCAAGTTGCTCACTGTTTTCCAATTTATATTGCCTCATCTTATTATAAAGTAGGAGAAATATTCTACTTTCTACTCTCTTTTTGAATGCACACACACCACACTGTGAGTTGCTGGATTCAGTAGCCAGAAGAAAGAAAGGGTGTCTGCATTTCTCATTGCTTCAGGCTTTCAGGTGGTTTTGCTAGGAGATATGAGAATAATCTAGATGCTCCCAAACCTTGAAATCATACTGACTTCAAAATCTTAGAACTCTTGGACCTATATGCAACCTTCCTTAAAATATTTATTTTGAGTATAAAAATTTTAATTTGGAAAATTTCACTTAAAAGCACATTGTATCTGAGAAGCCCTAAAGATGTCTCTTTAGTAATTGAAGTGAGCTGATTAGCTTAGTATTTTCCGAAGTGGACAAAGGCTTATTGAACATCCCCTCAGCAGCTCTCTGCCCCAGAAACTTGCTGTTTGCTCACCACAAACCTGCAGACACACATGAAAGTTCCTGGGCACCTTGTCTATCTGCCCCACCTCTGGAACTTGGCCCCTGACCCCCATGTCGCCGGGATAGGTGAACAATGACTATTTTCACAGTGTTCACAGCATAAGATGCACGCGCCTATTGTCGGGCAGTCTTCTTCCTTCCATGGTATCGCCTTTATCTTGTCTCATTTTATGAACTACTTATCGGACATTTGCTAAATGCCAACCACTCCTGTGGGTACAGCATCCAAGAACATGACACTTGAGATTATCTGTCCCCCTTGAACTGACAGGAATGTACCAGTTGAGAGTTCAGTGGCCTGGAGGCAACCTTCTACTGACACTGATGCCAGAGTTCATGAAGTTCAAGGTCATTATCTTTCTATCAGGACAGAGTGTGCTGTTGCTTCTGGTTTGACAGCAAGACCACATAGTGTGAAAGGACTGGATAACACCCCTGCTACCTCAGTTCATGGGGAAATATTGAAGGTGCAGTTGAGTTTTGTTGGACTCAATAGCTCTCATCTTCTAAACTTGGGAAACTGTGTGGTCTTATTCGTCTGCTAAGGCTGCCATCACAACATACACACTGAAGGGGCTTAAATGACAGGAATTCATTTTCTCACAGTTTCAGAGTCTCTAAGCCCAAGAACAAGGTGCTAGTAGCTTGGGTTTCTTCCACAGTCTCTCCCTGGCTTGCTTGTAACACCCTTCTCACAGTGCCCCCATAGACCCTTCCTTTGTGTGTGCTTATTCCCAGGTCTCTCTCTGTCTCCAACCTCTTCTCATAAGGTCGCCAGTCATCGGATAAGAACGTTACCTCCTTAAGGCCCCATCTCCAAGTACAGCAGTGGTCTGATTACTGGAGGGTGAGAACTTTGACATAGGCCTTTAGGGGCAAAAATTCAGTTCATAACAATTATCAGTCTGGACTCCTGAGTGTGAATCCTGATTCTATCCCTGAGTAGCTTTGTTGCCTGGGATGAGTAACTTAGTTTCATTGTGTCTTACTTCATTACTGTAATAGGGAAAAAGATAAGAAAAATAATGATGATGATGAATAATAGTACTTACCTCATAAAGTGGTTGTGAAAATTGAGTTGTTACATATACAATTCTGAAACAGTGCCTAACACGTAGGAACACTCAATATATCTCACTTTACATTTTTTAATTCAGTTTTTCAGTCAGCTCAGCAATTTTCAGTGTCTCCTTTCATTTCCTTAGTTTATTTTTACCTAGACTGATGTTTACTTGAACAAAGTAGAGTGGGACCTAAAACTGGCATTTAGGGAAAGTATTCGGAGTTGACAAAGGCTAGTGGCAGTGCCTCTCATTTATGTAGTGCTAAACACTTTCTATTCCTCATCTCATTCAGTCTCACTGTTGCTCCATACATCAGATTTGCTGGGTAGATTTTCTGTG